TGAAAAAAGTTTCATTTAATTTGAAAAAAGTTTCATTTAATTTGAATAAAGTTTCATTGAATCTGAAAAAGGTCTCATTTAATTTGAAAAAGGTTTCGCTTAACATGAAAAAAGTTTCATTTAATTTGAAAAAAGTTTCATTTAATTTGAATAAAGTTTCATTGAATCTGAAAAAGGTTTAATTTAATTTGAAAAAGGTTTCGCTTAACATGAAAAAGGTTTCATTTAATTTGAAAAAGGTTTCGCTTAATTTGAAAATGGTTTCATTTAAACTGAAATTGCTATAGCAGCACGGTTATGATGAGTGAGTTATAGAGTGTAGTTTTCGTAAGTTGAGAGAAGACTTTGCTCTTGAATTGCCTACTTAGTCCACTTGTTGGCAAGAGTTATTTCGCGTTGGATTTCGATGCTGACCTTACTATCGGCATCATGCTGGTTCCCATGTAAACGAAATTCTCTATTTTCTCGAAATTATAACTGCGGAGAGTAAATTTTTGACAACTATGAGGTGAATAAAATTTCAGTAGCTCATGAGGCTAGTGAAATTTTTGGCAAATGCATAGAACATTTTCACAATCACAAAGATTGTTGATGTGTGTAATTTTTCTGTAAATAAAAGCTTACATAAATTAATGAATTGCAATCAACGATCGTAGATGTTTTCTTAAAATATTAGTTTCACTTCAATTTGTAATATTTTATTCCGCGTAAATCTGCGATTATCAAAAATTTACTGCTGTCAAAAAAGATACCATTTCACACAGCAGATTGGCAAAACTGTCTCACCGCAGTAAAAATTGTATACAGTCTTTTTACCAAAAAAAGATACGAGCGTTAAATGCTATTACCCAAGCTCAAGTTAATAAAACACCACCTTTAGTTTTTAATTCACATTTATTACGTAATATTCAAATTGAACTATGTATTTTTTTCACATTCTTATCTCACTTAATAGTTTTTGCTCTGTGTATACATTAAAAACTTCACCTGCATATATATACATATAAAGTTAATTTCGAGATTTCAGCGTATACATCCATACCCAAATAAGCAAAGTACATCTGAGGAAAGCTCATTATAAATTTACTTCAGTAAGCCCGAGGTTTGGAAAATGTTCACTCGAAATATTTTAACCTCATTTACTAACAATTGTAGATTCAATGAAAGTGATCCCATATTTATGAATTGTGATCCGTTTTCGGAAAACAAGTTTTAATACAAATTTTTATGCAATGTATAGTGAGGGTAGTTGGAAGATGATTGGAAAAACTTCGATTCCGAAAGCGACNTGAGGAAAGCTCATTATAAATTTACTTCAGTAAGCCCGAGGTTTGGAAAATGTTCACTCGAAATATTTTAACCTCATTTACTAACAATTGTAGATTCAATGAAAGTGATCCCATATTTATGAATTGTGATCCGTTTTCACA